GGCAACTGGCCCCTGCGACGCTGCGTTTTTTGCGAAGTGGCATGTCACGGCGCCAGACGGTGGTCGCGTTATCCCCCCCCCCCCAAAAAAAAAAAGTGCCGCTGCCGCAGGAAAAAAGAAGTAGCATCCAGCACGCACCGCCGCCGAGGCAAGGCCTTCCAGCTGCAGCCCCGACCCCACAAGGAGCACGCCCCGCGGGAATCGAGGAACGAGAATTTGCCAAAGCAGCCAATCGGCCCCAAGATTCCCAGGCCGGGTTTTTGCGGGAATAGCGTGCATTACAACGGTGACCGGCAGCGTGATGCAAGGGCGCACACCGCCGGGGGCAGGGCAGCCGCACTGCACGGGGGCGGGCTCGCCACTCCGCCCAATGCCCCCATGACGGCGCAGCCAAATGAACCCCCGCCACCGCACCGCATCGTGCGGCCCCACCACGCGCCCACGACGAAGTTTGCTCCTCCCCGCAGAAGGGAGGGTGTATGTGTGTGAAGTGCATGGCACACGACAAATGCAACAGTGTTCCTTCTCTTCACTCGCATCGCACTCGGCATTTGCACCCCACACATCTCTCTGTGTGCGTGCGTGCGGCCTTGCGCAGGTATCGTCCACTCACGGTGAAAATGGCACTGCCTCGTTGCGGCGGCATTTTGTGCCGCAGTCCGCTGAAGAGGAGGAGGAGGGGCGCCGCCGCAGTGCCCGCCACGACGCAAACACGCCGGGCGCCCAGCACGTGGACTCCGCGAGAGGGACGTTTTGCCACGCACCTGCGACCGCACGGGGCGCAGCCAGCGAAGGCGGCAGCAGACGAGAAGGGCCCTTCGCTCCCTGCAGCTGACGGTGCCGTGCTGGAAAGCAACACACCCCCACGCACGCAGCGCTCTGCATCCGCAGGGATGGTAAAAGCGAGCCATAGTGCGCTTTCCTCCCTCTTGCTTTCTCCTTCTGCCTATTATTTTCCTTCATGCCCACGGAAGGAGGCAGCAGCAGCCACCAGACGTAACTGCCAGCACCGACTACGGAAGAAGAATCCACGTGAACCACACGAGTTAGATGCCATGACGGTGTGTGTGTGTGCCTACAGCTACGCAACGAAAAGAGAGAGAAAGGTAAAGCAGGTGGGGCCGCACATGCAGAAGCAGAGCAGCGCTGCACAAAGGAACACAAAAAGAAGAAGAGAACTAATACTCGAGACGGCACTGCAGCCCAAGCAGTGGCAACCCGCAGGAAATACTAAGAAAAGAAAAAGAAAATTACCCTTGACAGAGTTTTCAGTGAGAAAAAGAGGATCGCTGTCGCACACATTTGTGTGGCCTCTCAGAAACGTCTGCACCTGCTGCCTGTAGAAAAGAAGATATATTTGCTTTCAAGTTTCAAAAACCCCGCGTGTCCATACATCATTCGCATTCCATTGCGACACTCGGGGGGTTTGCTGTGCTTCACAGCAACTTTGTAAATCAAAGCAAAACAAAAACGGCGGCGTCGGCGTCGCACACAACGCCGAGATTCTCCGCAATTACCATACGGAAACAATGAAAAGACCCCGTCATTCTCGGAAGCGTACAATATAAAAAAATGAAGACCCCGTCGTGCGGGTCCCCAGGGCTGAGGGCGCCCTTAAATACGAAAGAAAATTCCTACATACCAGAAAAGGAGGTGTAAAGTAATATACCAGAAAGCATTAAAAAAAGAGGAGAGTTTCCACGAGGGACATCAATTATTTTGCAGGGTGCGTGAAAAGACTTATATGTTCGCACTGCAAGAAGAAACTTCCCCTCTGCTGTGCCTCGCTCAGGAGAGGGCCGCAATGCCCCATAGCCCCAGCAGCAGCAGGAGTAGCAGCACCCAAGCCCCATCCGCACGCATGGAGCTGTCGCCTTTATTCGGGTTACCGCCATTGCCGTCAACCTTGTTGAGTTCCGTGGCACTCAGCGGGCGGTTGTACAAAAAGACGTTCGTCACCGTCACACTGCCGCCTCTGTCGTTGCCGACTTCTTCGTCTCCAAAGTAGAAGTACGAGATTTCAAAAATCCGTGCCTCGGGTGTTGGCAGCGCGTCGGAGCTCCCCAGAAGCGTGCCGTCCACGTACACGGAGCCCTTGTTGCCCTGCAGCATGAGCGCCACTTGGTACTCCTTCCCCAGCTCCC